CACGATGTATACCTTGACATATACAAATCAAATAAAGAAATGATGTTTACCTACAAAAAAAAAAAAAAAAAAAAAAATATTTCCAACAAGTTGTTAATGTGAAGTAGAAGGTCTGCATTCTTTTTTGTTATTAGGTTTAACTTCTAATAGTCAATACATAATTATAGTTTTCCAGTTTTCTTAGATACTATCACTATAGAAAAGACCTATAAGTTTTGAGATTCTCAAATCAATCCTTTATTTAATAGGTTAAATTATTTAATTCTAAATAAATTCTCTAATATTGAAAGCTGCTTGATATATGATTTGTTTGATTAGAACTGTATTATCAATATCAATCATATGATAAACTTTACTTGTTTGTCCCGGTTTCTTTATAGTTTATACAAATATTTTCTTCTGCTTTAATAACAGTCTTTGTATCTCACTTTGTTCTTTTTGTTTTAACTCCTTATTAATCTCAATTTGCTGGATTCCTTCATTAATAATGATTTCCTTTAGTTTATTAGTTATAATAAGTAACTTTTCAATTTGAGCCAGGTATGTAGCAGAATCTAATAGCTCTTCTTCCCTTATATTTGCTAACTCTTTACCAGTTGTATCTTTAATATAATATTGTTCTGTATCCTCTATCTCTTCTTCTTCATATTCTAATTCATCTAGTAGATTATTGTCATTATCTACATCCTTATAGTGATTTTCATTATTGTTTATATTTTCTTTGCTAATATTGTAAATAAATGCTTTTATGATTTTATTTCAGTAGTGCAAGATTATCTATCTTTTATTATAACAAATATAGGCTTATAGTCTCTTGAATCAGTTATTTCCTAGTAATAGTGTCTCATCCTTAAAGTTGATTACTTGAAAAGTGTATGAAATGTCAAAACCTTGGATAACAATATTTATTTTTTCTAATGTTCTAAATAATATTTTTGTAATTGTAACTACTACTGATATTAATTTTTTATTAATTTTTAGATTTAATCAATTCATTAATCTTTTGATAATAAAGCTAACTGCTGCACCAATATCAATTACTACTATGACAAATTGGTTTCAGATTCTAATATGGCATCTCATAGTTATTGTTTTTCTTTTATCTTTATTAATATACATAGTTTTTTCTGGAATTGTCAGTCTTCACAAGGCCTTTTCCAAATTTGCTTCTGCTCTTAATATTATAACATCTGTTTAAGAGTTACATTTGCAGGTGTAAATAACAAGTCATTAACAATGTTATACAGTGGTTCTGATTTGATTTTTGACAACTCCTTCTTTTTTCGCAATTTTCTTTTTGAGACCTTTATTGATTTTTTCTTTATCTTTTACAGAAGATTTTTTTTACTGGATTCTTTTATTGCGAGATTTTGTATCTTTTTTACTTTTGTATTAATGTTGGCACAGTTTCTCAAGTGCTCTTCTTAAGCTAACCAGTTCTCCAATCATTTCGAGTTTGCTTGTATAGTTGGTATTGATTGGTGATGTGATAAACCTTATTCTCACATTTTGTTAGTTCCACATATTAAAATTTTGTCTCTTGTCCAGTTATTTGTATGAATGTCTCATTTTCATTTGTTAATTCTTTCTATTATATAACTTTTTGCATAATAACCCTTGTTGCTATACTTAAAACAAGTCACATCTTGAATGTCCATCTTATCTCTTGTTTTTGCTTTTACCTGAGTCATCATTAACATAATGAGCTTAATATAGTTGATAACTAGTATCTGCACCTATTAGATTAGTTCTGCAATACTATCTTCCAAGTAAGTTTGTTTTGTTTTTCTTTCAATTGTTTTTTTATAATACTCTTCTACTTCAATTTTTTTTGCTTCAGTTATAGCTTTCTCTAAAGTTTCTAGGTCAATACCAGAGAGAAAGAATAGATTTTTTCTCTCAATTATCCTGTAAAGATTTGTACTATATAAGTTTGTGGTAGTGTATTATTGAGATCCATCTTTTTTAACAGTTTTCTAAACTTATATGCATATGCACTAACTCATTTTCTTTTTTGTTGGTATAAAGTGTTTAGCTTTACTTGCCATAGGTGCTTTTATTCAGATGTAACAAAGTAATAAAGAAACAAGAATATAAAATTTTCCTCAAGATTACTATATTTATTCCAATGGATAATTGTATTCTTTTTATTATAGTATCAATTTGTGGTTAGGCCAGATAAGTATTCTAAGAAATACTAATTTTATATCAATTGATTTAGTTGTTAGCACTTGCAGCTTGTTTAAATATTTTCAGCCACTTGAAAGTATTCTTATTGTTTTTCCTATAGAAGGTCATTATCCTAATTAGGGTTTCGAAAAAGTACCGAACTGGTATCGAAATGGTATCGAAATCATACTGATTTATAGTAAATTTAATATATGGGTTGTAACCTACTCATATGTTTTTATAATAAATTTAAGTATTGAACTGGTATCGAAGTAATATCGAAGTGGTATCGTTAGAAGCCCTAACCCTAATCTAGTTATTTTTTATTTTTTGTTTTCAGAACCTATTCTATTCCTATTTCACAAAATGCATTTATGATTTCATACAAAATTGTATCTATTTGATTCATGTTTACTTATGCATCTTTTCTATTAATCAGGGTTCTATTATTATTTCAATTATTAATGTGAGGGCTATTCAAACCTTTTTCTATTACTACTGTTTTTAAGGCTGAGGTGCAATAATTTGGTTCAAGTTTCTTTCTTAAACTCTACAAAACAACTTACAATTTATTAATACACATTTATAGTAAAACAACTATTCAAACTGTCACTTAGTTTTTTTTGCAGAAGTTCTCCCTTTATTTTTGATTTGGTCTTTTCCTTTATATATATGCTACTATCATAGTAAAATTATAAAAACTATAATAACTATTCTAACTATTCTAACTATAATCGCTATAATCGCTATAATCAAGAAAAGACATATAAGAAATAAATCAACTATAATAAAGATATCTCAGATTTTAAAGATTTGGAATCATTATGACATCAGTACATATGATAATGCAAATATTCTCTCACATTAAATAGTTCTTCTATACTTATTGTATCACTTCTGACATAGATTCTTATATTATTGGACTAGTAGAATAAATAATAAATAAACCAATAGAAAAAAATATCAGAGGTGGGGAGTAACTAGATGTTGGAATCTGACAGTTATTATCAAATTGTAACAGATGATTCTTTTGGTAAGGCATTCAATTTGATTGAGGTAAATAATTTCTTTTTATTAAATTACTTTAGTCACTACTATCTATGTTCTCTATTTCTTAAGAATAAATATTAATATTTTATACTATTTTATAACAAACTTTAAAAACAATTTAGAAACAAAATGAAAGATAAAAAAGTCTCTACTATTTTCTGATACTATTATCTAATCTAATACTAATTATATTATTATTATTTTGTTACAAGAGCTGGTTTCAGATTTATTTTTATTTTTATTTTCTTTTTATAATTTTGGATCGATTATTAGTTACATAACTTTAATTGTATTACCAATGTTTTTATTCTTCCTCTCATAACTTTTTCACAACTATTTTATGTATCTCATGCATTAAGATTCCATTAGACATGTGTTTGTCATCATGTTTCATTTAGTGATAGCCAGTAGTTATCTATTGAATTGTTAATTATTGGTTGTTAGCCATCTTCTCCTTCTATTTATGTTTGATTCTACAATATGGCAGGTAGTTAAAGTTTGTTAGGCTTAAGGTAAGATGTTGACATATTAAGGACTTTATTTTTACAAGTATTATTTGCATAACCTTACTATTATTGTTTCTATATTTTCTCTATAGGATTATCTGTCTACTTGAATTGTAATAAATCTTGATATAGTTAGTAATAAGCTTTTAATAATATCTAGATTCTGACTTGATTTGATATGTAATTATTTGTTTTCTCTTTTTCCTTTGTCTAATTGTTTTTTGATATCAATTGATTATAACCATATCATATAATTATTGTGTCTCTGAAGATAGTGCCATTAAATATGTTATCATAATTTTTTTTGTCTTTCGTCACTATAGTTCATCAGTTTAAGACTCTATCTCTCCAATTATCAAGTGGTCTTTTCTCTAGTTCATTTTTAACTTATTTCTTTTTTCATTAGTTCCATCAAGTTTTATATTATTTTGCATGATATTATTTTTTTCTTGATATTGATGATCTGTGGTAATCAATCATTCTCCTATATTATCAGGTGGGTTATTGAATATGATTATAGTTTTTTCTTTTCAGCATTCATCACTTTTATTGGAGATTTTCTCACTGGTATCAAAGATTCGTAGTTGTGGTATATCTTCTGGTCAGCTTCTTTCTCTTGAATCAATATCATTTGTGATAGTTGAATATTTTCCTAAGGTACATTGTTGCAGTTTGTCTTCTAGTCATCTCTCTTTCT